GCAATAATAATTAGGAAAATTAAGAAAAAGAAAACAATTAAGAGGAGGAAGTTGTAGTTGGTAAGTCCAGACCTTATTTGGCAATTCCATCACAGATAATTTGACATACCAGACTCAGAAAACGTCATATAAAATAGAGAAAACTGAACAAGTTGAAAAATTTGACCCAACAGAATGTAAAGATATCTTTGCAGCACCAGGAGGGACTGAATTCAACATTTCTGCGCTCATACAGACTTCAAATACACAACAAAGTATATTTAACAGATAAAAATTGGATTTTGCATGTTAATTTGTGCCTGTAAAATACATAATACGTCCTCTTTAAAAAAGGTTTGGGGTACAAATTAAATCAGAGCATGACACTCTGTCAGAGCTGTACACTTCCAAAGAAACCTCCCAAAACGGATATAAATATTGAGGTAAACAGTGGCTTTGAGTCCTCCCTGAGCAGCTTTAGTTTCTGTCAGGTGTGTGGTTGGTTTGACAGGATCATTAATTCCCAGCAGAGCAAACACAATGAGCAGAGCTACTTATCATAAACTTCTGATCAGTGTTTGAACCCTGACTACACACTGGTGTCACGTTTAAGGTAATTTAGAGTCGCTTCACCAATTTGTCTGTCAGAAGCACTGATAGGGCTGCCTGTGGTTTGTAGTTTTTAGCACAGATATTTTGMCAGCCGCTGTCAGTCACTTGTTGAATTTACTGGCTTATTTGAAATGTCAGATAAGGAGTTATGGATAATTTATTTTTGCCCAACATGTRGTGAAAAAGTAAACAGTAACTCCAGGCATAAACTCATGGGATACGAAGGAAAATATACACTTATCTGAAATTTAAATGTTATTCAGCAACAATTCTTCTTTATATTTTAATTCGCTTCACACCAGGTGGAAGTTTTCTCAGTTAGTCACACATTTAGTCAGTTTACTGTGTGCAGCCTTCAGTTTATTTGATGTTTAAAGTCTCCTGCTTCAAACAAATCAGCTCATTTTGTTCCTTTGAAATTTCTTCATTTCTACTGAAATGTGCATAAAAGCAGTTATTTTATCGTTTATGTGGAGATAACGTCCAGCTTTGTGCTGCTTACAACCCAATAATGATATTTACAGAATTATTTCTTTTAGAGACAACATGCACATTGGGTTTATATTAAATTGAAATGAAACTTATAGCATTTGATTGGTTTAAAAAAGGTAAAGAGCTTATTGACTGTTCTCTATCAGTGCTGAATTTAACATTTTGTATAATTTGTGTACAGACGAGCCAAGCTACAGCGTTAACTGTGTGACTAAGACAAAAAACATGCTTAGAGAAGCACTTATGATTTCAAAGAGATGCTGAAAGTTGACCACAAAATAAAAAAACATACGTCTGAAAACAAACCAATAATGCTGCTATTAAATTAATGACTGTGTGCAAATGAGAGATTAACAAAGAAAAGCATCAGCATCATATCTGACACTGTGCAGCAAAGTTAATGAATATTTTTTATTAAATATTAAGAAAAAAACACCTCTGAAAAAATAACAATTTTTTGTTACCTTGTGGTGAATTTGCTCCTCTTTTAGTGCCACCAGAATCACAGAAACGAGGAGATTGAGAACCATAAATGTCATGAGGATTATACAGGAACCAAAGAGTAATCCACCAAGAAGAGGTTCACTGTTTAAAACCTGGAAATGAAACAATCAGGGTGATCACTTTGAATAAAAAGAACACAGTCATGCAAAAACAGTTTTCTGTTTATATTTATATTTAAAAAAATCAAGCATGTCCTCCTTTTTGGAATCAAAATGAAAAAATGAGAAAAGAATTTTTGCACATCACTTTGTGCATAACCATTATCAGTTTCCCAGAGAGGGATTACGCCTTCAGCATAATTCCCATTGATTACACTGCATCTGCATTTAATTTGTCTTTGGTCTTTCGTGCATTATAGAATTCAAACATAGAGATGAGTTTAATCCAATTCTCCTGTAAAATCTCTTTTTAAAACAGCCGTATGAGTTGGGTTTTTTAGCTGCATTTGGTCGACTGTGGATCGACACGGTGAATCCTTGCAGGCTTACTGTTCACAGCTGGACCAGCAAATTCATCATATATTTATTACTTCCATTGTGAATGTCAAATGTATCACAAATTATTGAGTCTTCGATTGCATAACTCACCTCATCGTAGTTAAAGATCCCAACTTGTAAAGTGATGATGGTCAGAAGGGAATCTGTGAACGTTTTGTAGGAGTAAAGGTTCCAACCGTAAATCAAGTTGCTCTGAAAAAAAAAAAGAAAATCAGCTTAATAACTGCATTTATTCCTGTCCGTCACAGTTTGTCAGCTCTGTTTATTCTAAAGGTCACAAAGAATAAGATTTTCTCCTTCAAAAACACTTGTATCATCAGTTGAATTATGATCAAATGTTGGTGAAAAACTAATGCCTTATGAATTCCTAAAATGATATTTCCCCATTTTAATGTYGCCTGTGAGGTTTAATTGGCTGACCACAGTTTAGTTAGGAACTAACAGCTTTTTCACATCACTGAACCTAAACCCACTCAGACTGGTGCAGCTAATTAAAACGGGAAGAACAGGAAAGTGAAAGGTCTTTACACAACGACAAGGTACTCACTGCAGCCGAATACGCCACTAACATGATCACAATGACCACAAGAAAATTGGAGATGTCACTCCAGGCTCGCTGCAGCGCAGCTGTGATCAGGTTCATCTTGGGGTTCAGTCTGAGGAGGCGACACAGTTTGATGGTGGACAGAAGGACCAGGAAGGCGATCAGATACTGAAGTGTTAAGTCAGCCGTGGCCGTCTCGTAAAAGCTGGCAAATCTACACAGAYAGAAAAAATGAGCTTTTATTATATTAGAATCAAAGTTTTAGTCAAACAAATTTCAAATAGAATAGAGACTGTTAAAAAACAGGTTTTTAACTTTGCAAACTATAACACTTAAGTTAAGTTTAGGCTTGTAGATGCAGTTGTTGGCAACTAAGAAACACGATTCAGAGAACGACAAAGATTCTCTTGTGGAATCACACTGCATGTGCAGGTGTGGATTAATTAGTTAATTTTACAAATTTATTTGTTGCAATTTAGTCACAACTGATGTGYCCAAATTCMGGGGSTGCGTCCTCCGAAGGACAAATTTGTCGGTCGCTAACGTCACAACGTCGAAGGAGGTCCGAATTTGAAGACACCTCCGATGCAGCCAACAAATGCGTCCTCCTTTTCCCCTGATTTGAGGGACGGGTTCGATGGAACCTTCTCGGCCCACCATATCCCATGATGCATGGTGGGCCGACCAGAGAGTTTTGTTCCTGCTCATAATGGCGGACGAAACGGGAGAAAGGAAAACAGTTTTAAATAAAAAAATTTACAGTACAAAATTTTTCAAGTGTTTGTTAATGTTTTTGTCTTTTGTGTGAACACGTTTTATTTTTATTATTTTTGTTAGAAATCAAATGAACTGGTGTAGCAAATTAAACAAGCATGTTAATCCGTTAGTTAGTCCACAAGTCCATTAGTTCTTCAAATAATGCCTTTCAGCTAATTTTGTTGTTTTATATTAATAATACTGATATATTTAGCTAAATTTTATCTATTTTTGCTTCAGTTTAGCATCGTCACATTTGCTAGGTGACAGTACATACTCTGGGGTAAGGGCAGGGATGAAGCAGATTAGACCATCCAAATTCACAGCAACTTTTTTTCAGTCTTCTCGGTCGACAAAGGACTCAACCCATCTAGACCGGGTAGGTCTGGGTCCTTCGAAAGACCAAGGCCAAGTCTCTTAAAGTGTCTAAGTCACATTACAATGCGATCAAAATCTGTTTTCTTTTTTTATTCTAAGTATATTACATCAAATATTTTCACAAGTTGGTCTCACAAAACCTCCTAAAGTTTTTTTTTGTTGTTGCTTTTTCTGAATCTTAGAAACTAAACTGAGAAGGTTTCAACATGAGTTAAACAGCAGGTAAAATAAGTATTGAACACGTCACCATTTTTCTCAGTAAATATATTACTAGAGGTACTAATGACATGAAATTTTCACCAGATGTCGGT